GTTGTTAGTGGCTTTTGGGCTAAGTCACAATTAAAAAAACAAACAAAAAAAAAAAATCAATGATTCAGAGATTCTCTTCATCATTTCCTTCCCACAGAAATTCCCCTACCTTCTGCTTGTAACTCCACATAATAATCGGTTCTCAAACCTGTCAAAATATCGTCTGGTTCTCAAAAGAAACCCTGCAGAACTGGTAGAGCACCAGCAGTGACACTGTATTATGGGAAAAAGGAGTTGTTCGAGAACGCTATCCAATCATTATACGTGTTTAATTGCAAGTTCCGATGCAAGGTGGTGATTCCTGAGATATTTATCCCACCTGCATCCTCTCTGGAGCCGGAACAGTTGAACACATCGTACAGACCAAACTTCTGCATCATACTGGTTGGTTTGTTACAAAAGGCAACTCGCTATTACGTACAACTGCGTTTTGGAGCGTTTCCTTCACGTTGGTCGTCTTTCTTGTGGGACAGCCACAATTGCAGTGTATACCTGGCTTACGTCAGTGGAAAAAAGTTATTTGATTGTGAAATCTTGACAACAATGTCAACCTGACACCAGAGCGGAGGAGACGTATGCACGGAAATGCGTTTAAAGAAAAAAACCTGCGTTCACTGATATCAGATATAAGCATCCAGCTTTAGTGGTGGAAACACTGCAACTTGACTGTAAACACTTTTAGATCAAGTAAAACAAAATGTAAATTAAATTTGTGCCACTATTCAGCTTGAAACATTCTGCAAGTCATGGCGGTGGGAACGACACACAGGATACAGGAGATGCAAACAGTTTAATTATAAGTGTGGGAGATTTCTGTTCAGCCATGCATGACCCGAACAGATACACTGTAATTATGGCGGAGCTATTGGCATAAACTGTCACGAGGAATTGCAAACTGCCAATAACCCACAGAATTCATGCTTGTTTGCGTTTTCCTTTGTCACTTTGTATCAGGTCTATCATGGGTGGTTGGCGACGCAGAGGAACTGCCCTTTGATGACGACCAGTTCGACATATACACCATCGCCTTCGGCATTCGAAACGTTACTCATATAGATCAGGTAAGTTACTTTTAAAGGTCTTTTTATTTTCTGTTTCCAGTTAAATTTTATTTTTTACTAATTTATTCTCAGTTTAAATAAGAGATGAATCCAGCAGCTGTGTTTTTAGAGTAACATTTTTTTGTGTCCTTTGACATTAAATTAATAACTGGCTGTTTCAGGCACTGCAGGAGGCTCTGCGGGTCCTGAAACCTGGCGGCAGGTTTATGTGCTTAGAGTTCAGCAAAGTGACAAATCCCCTGTTAGCAAGGTGAGGAGGAGATGATGGCCTTGAGTGCATATGTAATATAAATCAATACTGTAAAAGATAGTCTTGCTGAAATGTTCATTTTCTCTATAAGAGATGCTTTTATGGTTTTATAAGTTTATATAATGTGATGAATATTGCTTTCTTACAAGTCAGTTGACTTTTTCTGAAACTGCAGATGTAACAGACTAAATGAGCTCTTGCTGCCCTCTTCTGGTTCTCTTTAATATAGTATGCATGCACTTAAGTAGAAATGGAGTTTTGGGATATTTAAAAAGAAGTTGAGAATCATCAGCTGATCATTGATCAGTTTGACTTGCAGACTGGTGACTTAAAGTTCAACAGATTTCAACACAAAGTTAAATGAGGCACTAGAACTGTGATTGCATGTGATTTAGAGGTTTTAGTTTATTGAAAAGTATAAATACATGATATTCACAAATGAACTCTGGAAAATCATATAAATCAAGAGTAAAGGATAATGTTTATTAAACATCTGTGAAATAAATCTGGTCAAGTAACAGCAAGTAGCAGAGGGGTTTGTTAATCACACACACAATCACCCCTGCCCACACACCTGAGTAGCCCTCATCTCCCAGGCCACTCATGCATGGACTCTACTCAAACCAAGTCCTTGCACTACTTCCAATGATAGATACCCTGACTGCCATTAGGTATCAGGATTAAACGAGTGTCAGACCTCACACTGTTGCAGTGGGTCCTGGCTCCCCCCTGGTGACGAAAAAGCTCAGTCTCATATGGCGAGAGTATCGAGGCAGTTCCTGGAGGAATTGATACTATTGAGTAGCCCCATGCTTACCTGACATGATTTGGTGCATCCAATTCTGTCAGGCTGCACCTCAGACTGTCCAGGAGCTCAGTGAAATGTGTAATTATGGGAGTTATTTGAGACTAACACTGGGTTCTAGTTCTGAGAGATTCCCGTTTTCTTTTTCAGGCTTTATGATGCGTACAGTTTCCAGATAATCCCAGTGTTGGGAGAGGTTATTGCTGGAGACTGGAAGTCTTATCAGTATTTAGTAGAGAGCATCCGCAAGTTCCCCAGCCAGGTAAGGCAGATTTATGGTCTGTATCTTATTTCTGTCATTGCTGTGCTTACTTTGATTACAGTTCTCAATTTCAAGTTCCCTTCTTAGATCTTTCATTCACATATTTTTTCTGAAAGAGAGAGATTTGATTCATGATAAATGGCGTGAATTTGTTTATCTGATTACTCGATTGTACTGGCACTGTTTGTCACATTTCTAAACCCTCTTTTAGTCTAAGAAAAAATTGACAGCATTTTAATGAGGTTACAGTGTCTTTAGTGCGCATCAACTGATTGGATCTATATGCACAGTCACAGTATTAAACATCCACTCTGGAAAAGAAACAGCTGAAGCTTGTTATGTATTCACACTGTACTGCTGTGTGCATGTCTGTCACTTTGTGGATTCACTGTTAGTCATTGGTCCCCTTGTTCTTTTTCCTCTGCAGGAGGAGTTCAAATCCATGATTGAAGATGCAGGTTTCTATTGTGTGCAATACTACAATTTCACAGGTGGAGTTGTGGCTCTTCACTCTGGTTTCAAGCTGTGAGATGCACTGAGAATGCCTTCTGTAAAATATCGAATAAGTAAAGTCAGTTTCAGGCTTCTCTGCAGTATGACTGTACAGATTTTTCAGACTTGAGTTTTCTAGCTTGAGGCTTCCATCTGCTCATTGCAGAATGACCAAAGGTCAGAGAACATTTATGAAATCCAGAGGAATTATTATGAAAACTGCTCTTAATAGATCTCACTGTATGTGTACTTCTACAAATGACAAGATGATTATTTTTTTTTGGTAATGTGTTTTGGTGATGAATAAAACCTAAAAAAGCTAATCATATTATCCGAATGGATTATTACCAAAGCTGCAAAAGGCATATTAATTACTCCTTATAATGAAGCTCTTAGAATTTAAACCACTGACTTTTTGCACAAAATAAGAAAACATTAATATAGAGTGCACATGATGAAAAGCAGGACACCACAACATTAGTTACTTGAATAAAACTGTATATTTTACATATCTTTATACACTTTAATTACAAAACTGTATGGTACTAAAGTTTTAAAATCAGTTTTTTGGTCAGAGAAGATTTAATCGTCTTTTGTGCAATTACCATGTATATACAAAGTCTCATGTTAGTGATTTTCCTCGAAATAAAAAGCAACTCAAACGTTCATACACTCGGAACATAAGACATGGCTTAAAGATAAATATATTAGTAAATAAATATTCAGAGAACATATTTCCATTTATGAAATGTGTTTGCTATACAGGTACAGAAATATACACAGATTGATTTCTAGCCTTTTTTAAAAAACATTTGTAATAGTAATGACAGAAAATAATTATATTCTTAAAAAATATTAATTTTTGTACACATTTTTTAATCTTAAGTGCTAGAAACAACAACAAAAACAAAAAAACTTAAATAGTGACTCAAGTACCCCAAAATGTTATATTTGCAGTAGGTACATATCTCTATGCAAAAGGCAAGATTAGATTCTCACTTGATTACAGCACTGGGTTAACTTATAAATAGGGTTATTTCAGGTTTTCCTCTGTGTAGAGAATGTGTATATTTCATAGAAACAGTATTAAAAACAGTCTGCAGGACAAACAGAAAGGCATGAATGACAAGCAATGATATCGCAAGTATGTATTATGCACAGCACGATTCAAACGGATACACTGCGGTACTTATAACTGCATCATTCAAAAAGAAAAGTCACAGTACAAATAAGGAACCCTTTTAAAAGATGAGTCTTTTCCAGCTACTTTCCTTTGGCCTTTTGATACATGCTAGAACCTTTAAAGATATTTAATACAGCATGTTTCATTGTGGAAATCGGGTAAGTGACAAAAAAATACACTTTTAAGGGCTTCCAAACATTAAGTAGAGTGCTACACTCTATGTTTGAATCTATTGACCCCGAGACACTCGCTCTGGTCTGAAGTTTAACGAAAACCTGTGCAGTGTCTAGATATTGCTACAAATAGCTTCCCAGCCCAGCATAAGGCTTGCCACGTTGCTCTGGCATCTCTCATACAGGTAGGCCACAACTGGACAGAAATGCAATGCATAAAACAAATTCTGTGTATTGACCAGTGTCAGCCTTGCATTCACATTTCTATGCAATTTTCTGTAGTTATACATAGCTTTTTTTTTTTTTCTCCATGGAGAAATGAGTGGGTCACAAATACCTAGAAAGACCCATTTCCCTGCTTGAAAACAGTTTAAAATAAAACAATCATGTCTTTCTGTTTTGGTATTGGTAGCTAAGTCCATAAAATCTACTTGACTTGGTGGATGAAGCTTTAAAGGCAGTGGTCATGTGCACAAATATGCAAAATGTATATGTAGATGCGGATAGT